CGCATCGGGCTCCCTGCTCCACAGGAAGTCTGCTTCTCCCTCACCCACTCCCCGTGCTTGTGTTCCTTCTCTTGCTGTGTCTCTCTGTCAAATAAATAAAATCTTAAATAAAAAAAAAAATAGGGGCCTTAGAAAGGCAATGTGATCAGGTGTACATACCTCACCCCCAGATCAAACTATGGAGGTGAGTCTGGAAATCGACATTTTATCAGTATCCTGTGATACTTCAGGCACACTAAGATTTAAGAATCACTCATATACATCGTTAATTTTTTTCCCTTCTACTTCGTAAATTGGGAAGAAAAGAAAGGCAGAGAAATTAGGTGAAAATGAAGTGGAGGGGAAGGAAGAGGTGAGTTTTTCAAACCCTTAGTTCTTCCTGGGCTTTGTCCTCTAAATAACTCTACGGGGCTGGATCTGTCCTCAGGGCCACTGTTAGTGGGTAGAAACCTTGACCATACGCAATTATGTTTCACAAGTTGAACTTCACTGGAGCATTGCTCTGCTACCTCGCTCAGGCTCTCCCCACGGTTCAGTATGACCAATATCTCACCTTCTCCATGATCTCCTCCCGCCCTACAGCAGCCTATCAGGCCAGACTTCTATGACAGCTCTTAGAACAACAAACATATTTGGCAAGTGACTCTGGCCTGGCAAACACATACAAACCCCACTTTCTGATTAGCAGTAATACACCTGGAGACATCTCTTGGCTTTCTCTTATCAACGGTAAACACTTCAGTGTTTTACCCAGAAGCAGATAGAGCCATATCTCCGGGTGGTTGGTGGCAGAAATAAACAGGGGATTCTTACATGGAACAAATGACCAGAAGCTGGAAGAGATGGTTAATGTTCATCAAATCCATGCCCTTCCAGGCTGGCCAGAATGACCCTCAAAATAGTCCCGCCAAGAGGTCGTCTCTTATTTAATCCCTCGGGCAACCTAATCCTGTCTCAACCCTCACCATTATTTATTTTCTATATAATCAAATCTTTCTTGTTAAAATTTATAGCCTTTTCTCTAGTTCTGACCTCAGGAGAAATGAAGAACAGATGCTCGCACAGCTTTTAATAAAAAGGTTATTAAGTCACTGCTCATCTTCGTTCTACCGTTGGGGGCGGTGGGGACAGAAATTGTTGCTTCGTAGCTCTCGCCGCTTGGCCCTGGTTCACCTGTAATTCTGATACCAGGCAGCCCCATTCTGTCAATGAGTGGATCAAGACTGTAAGTTATATTCAGGTCAGTACAACTGAAATAGCCTGGTTTATCTTTTACAAATTCTACCAACAAGCATTGGGTCCTGTGAGGTGATGTAGCTTAAACAGATGACATTTAAAAATTGCCACCCGTTTTTCCTATTGCCACTTAAAAATCAGAAATGTAAAAACTTTGTTAGCTGGTCTTTGATTACTTTAATCTGATATGACTGGGCTTTGTTAAAACTAGGTTCTATAGTCATTCAGAATTAAAATCAAAGAGTATTTTCCTTTCTTATTTTTTAATGATATTTTGTGCATAAGGCCCTCATAGAGTTAAATTAATAAGCATTTTCAAAATTGCACATGGAACTGAACAGTCTTCCAAAGCAACTCCAAAATTAAGATCATGAAGGACGTGTCATTTTTAGCTACTGTTTATGCTATCTTGTTGAGAGGTGGGCAGAAACAGGGTACCATTTTACAGATAAGCACCCAACGTAAGAAGTTGCCAAAGGTGACCCACCAAGGCTGCAGCAAATCCAGAAGCTAAAACTTGGTCTCCCAGCCTTCAGCTCTGAGCTCTTTACACTTAATATCGCCCTAAAAACAAACACTTTTCAAACTGCACTTCCATACACACATATAGATTTAAGGACACTATTGTTTCCTTTGCATTCTCCACGCTGAGCATTTACTAAAATTACATCACTACGGTGGTCATTTGAATAACACACAAAACCCTGTCACAACACCTGGGGAAATTATCCTCAAAGTTTCACAAGCCTTGTGCCTGCCTCTGCCGTTCAAGAGTAAGTAACGGGCCCAGAACAAGCCCTGAAGATAAAGGACGAAGCCATCTTACTTACAGGTGGAAAGAATCATGGCTGTGCTTCTGCAGGGAGCAGACCAAACAGCCTTCAGTTCTTCAGCGACGCTCCAGTCACAAAAACACATCTTTTAACTGAAATCATAGCTCGCCCAAGATGTTTCTCACAGAGTTAACCCCACCTATTTTCCTGTTCTAAAAACCTCAGAGAAGTGTGTGAATGACAACCCGATGGCCTATATAAGAAAGCTCAGTAATCTCCATCCAGATCTCTGAGGGTAGCTGCTATTGGTTCCTCATTCCCAACTGTGTGGGTGACTCCAGCAAACAACATTTTCAAAAAAATCACAGAATTTTCGTGCAAGAAACATTAAAAATCATCAAATCCGAAACTGCCCTCTCTGGACAGAGAAGGAAACGGATGCGCAGATAGGACAAGGGACACAGTTAGTGGAAGAAACAGAATTAGATTCTACGTATTGGAGTATAAATCTAGAATGTTCTGTCCTCCCACTCAGTACTAACACTTCAAGGACCATATTACGAAACTTCATTTTTTTGTGGGGATGGAAGCCAATTCAGTAATACACCTAAAAGGTGACTGAGCCATGGTTCAGAAATGTAAAAACAACATCAATAAAAAAATGTACTTAGGAGTTTCACTTCATCCCCTTGGAAAATATAACCAAAAATTAAAACTAAAGGGAACAATTCTAAAGAGCACATAGCATTTTCACATTGCCCTTCCTATTTCCTGCTTTATAGATTAAGATCTCTTTAAGCATTCTGGGTGGATTCTTCTATTTTTACTTCACTTTTTGCCTTCCTTACGCTTTATACAAAACCTTTTGTTAAGTTTTGGTGAAAAATTTAAAGATTTTTGAAGAAGATGTTCCCAAATGTTGCCAGGTATTATCCATCTTGTTTTCCACGTCAATAGTATACATGACGATTACTACAAGGACTATACTTTGTCCTCACTTTTCTTCAATACCATCCAGCTCCTCTAGGTGAAAAGGGAAGTATGGGACCGGACAGGGAGGTGTGGGAGGAGTCAAGGTGAAGGAGAAAGTAAGGAGAAAGATATAATCAACAGTACTCATACTCAAGTATAACGAGTATGACCAACTCCTTGAATGGACTACAATTCCGTTAAAAGGTGCATATGTTTTTGTGATGGGGGTACGGTTTAAACAGGAAGATGAGGAGGAAGGTGGCAAACAGACTGTGACAAGACTTAAGATAATTTTTTTTTCCATTCTAAGGAGGATAAGGAAGGATGGAAGATAGCTTTCAGTGGATGGACAGACCAGAAGGGAGAGATGGTTCTCCAGGGTCCTAGGGAGGCACTGCTCAGAGCAGCCAGCAACAGCTCTGTGTTCCCTTAACACCTGTGGCAGAGGGGACACCACAGCAGTCCCCAGAGCAGCTGAAACTCCTACAGAAAGGCCCTGTGTGTTGTGTGTACCTCAGCTTTCTACCCTCGTAACACCAAGAAACATGCGTTGGGCCATATGGGGCCTCTGCTATTGATAACAGAGACTGTTTCTTTTCCCTGGGCTCATGAGGAGAAATGAAGGTTCCAACTCAGCTGGTGTCTTCGTCAGAGATTGTAATGGTCAGAAACCCACTCAAACAAACTTGATCACAGGGTCTACCATGAGGCTCTTCTAGACAATCTCACTGATCCAACCAGATCTCCTGAAAACCATCTGGGAGACAGCTCTATATACCATGCTCTCCATTTTTCCTGGTCTCTCTACCAGAATTTGAGCTTGCTCCCGGGTCTTGCTTGTGGTGGGGGCAGGCTTTGTTGTGAACATCACCTCATCACTCTGCCCCAGAGCCCAGTACCTCCACTTACAGCATCCATGTCCTGGGGCAGATTCCCAGGACGTAGAAAGTCACTGATTGCCTCTAGTTCAATTTTTTTTTTTAAAGATTTTTATTTATTTATTTATTTATTTGAGAGCGTGAGAGATAGCATGAGCCGGGGTGGGGAGGGAGAAGCAGATGGAGAGGGAGAGGCAGACTCTCTGCTGAGCAGGGAGCCCGATGTGGGACTTGATCCCAGGACCCTGGGATCATGACCTGAGCCGAAGGCAGCCGCTTAACGACTGAGCCACCCAGGCACCCCAGTTCAATTTTTACCTAACTCCAATTAGTTATGGATACCATGGGCACGGTCACTCAACCCAAACATGGGCCTGACTGGGGGCTTAAATTAGACAGGAACCCCCAAACATGTCTGCCTAAGTGGGGAGGAGGCATTAATGGTAGAAAGTCCAGGCTTTTTTCTCTTCAGTAAGGAATAGTTGATCCCCAGGGGTAGAGAAATTGACAGCTGCAAGGCATAGTCCCTAGTCCTAAAAAGGTAAATTCATATGTTACAGAATTAAAATTTTTAATTAAAAGACAACTCAGTTTCTTATAAATATATATCTTTATATATTATATATATTTACAATATATACAGCATACAAATAATGGCAGTCTTGAAAATGGATGTTTTCAAAACAAAAGAGGGGTACTTATCCAAGATTGGGTTCCTGATTCATCCAGAACCCACATTTTAGACAATGCCTCAGGCCCAGATTTCTGTAGAAGTCAAAGGAAAGAGAAAGGTTGCTGGAACAAGGCTCTAATTTCCTTTCCTTTCCCAAATATCCTGACCTTCCACTGACACCAGCCAACATGGCCCCATGTACACCCCTAAAATGGGAAAACCTTGGGGTCTGGGCATCGTACTTAGCACATGGTGAGTGCTCAAGTACTTGTGGGATGATAAAAGTGAGTGTTTTTAATCACCATCTCTCAGGCAGCATTTCCATAACTTGAAAGATCCAGTCCCAGACCTAGGACTGGTCTAGAACCAAATGCTTTAGGTTTTTCCACTTTATAAGTAAAACAGTCTACATGTCCAAGTGCTAAATAAGTTAAAAGTTAGCCACAAAGTGCCATTTCTTCCTCATGCTTTGGAATCTGGACGCCACAGATCACAACACCACTTATCTTCCAGAAGTTTCTTCACACTCAACTAGTTCATCTATTGTGCGCAGCAAATCTTCAAAGGAAGGCCTTCCCTCCGGTTTCTACAATTAAAAATCAAAGAGAAGCTGTGGGTTCCAGAATCCATCCCCCAAAATAATTTCTCACATTCAAACTCACATAACATAGCACACAAGTGCAAGGTACTCATTGTTTTGGGACTAGAACACTCAGGTGTCTCCAAATGGGTCTACCCTAGCCTACACATACACTGTTGCTAGACACACCTTTCCATGACATTCCTTTTGTGTCTCCATTTAAGAATCTAACACAGCTCCTTATTGCCTGCAAAATCAAGTGCTCCTAATTTGCAGTGCCCTCTATAACCTGACTTCCCCCAACCTCTTGCTACCCAATTTCATTTCCCACAAACACCCTCACATGGGCTCTCTGCTCCATGAGACCCATCTCCACCCTCCTGTACACACACCACACTCATTACCACCACCTTGCCTATGCTCATGTTGTCCTCTCCCACCCCCAGCAACACTTCTTGCCCAGGCCTCTCCCATCCCAATCAGTGTTCTTTGGAGACATTATAGCAAGTGACCAAGAGCATGGATTCTGCTTCTCTGTAGCAACGTGGTCTTGGGCAAGTGTCAGTTTCAGGAGCCCTGGTCTTCTCCACAAAGTGGTTATAGTAAAAATCTCTGTACCTCTAAAGGTTATTTTGAGAACTATATCTAAAGCACTCAGTACAGTGCCTAGCACACAATACACATGAACTATTATTATCTTCCAAAAATCATTTTGTTGTCTAATCTCTTCTACAAGGTGACATTTTAATACACCGGGAAGGAAAACTTCCAAAGACTGTAAGTCAAGAGATCTGGGGGAAGTTGAGATTTGGTGAAAGAAACCCCCTCTGGTGAAAGAGTAATACTTCAACAATACAAGTAGTCCAGTGAAAGAAGAGCTACTTCTCTGGACTTAATCCTTGAGTCCCGAACTCAGGCAACTGTGACAGGATTTCCCCTTGGGAGTGGGATGGCAACCTGAATTCATGATTTAATTATTATCATTTTCTGCTTCTTCACCTTCTTCTTCGCATTATTCAGAACTGACTTGAGAGGGTTGGCTTTCTACCTAGAGTTTGAAATCCTATAAAACACACACTAACTCACCAGGCTGTAGAGACTATAGACTATTAATCTACCAAGCCCAGATCCCTAAATGTTTCAGAGATTCAGAATGAAAGCACAGAAAACTTTTTTTACCTCCTGCCAACATCTCAGCATCACCTCGTATACATATTTGGATGCCAACTTTGGCCTGTAGAGTCGGTGGCCCCGGGTAACCATGGTTACCACTTCATAGTTGGTGTTTTTCTCAAAGGGCATTTTGCCTTCAGTGAATATTTCCCACATTAAAACACCTAGAAAAGGATAAAGGATTATGAAAAGGATGCATCCACTTCCGCTTCAGAGTAGAGCTGGGGAAAAATGGACCATGTTCTTACCAAATGACCAGACATCCGATTTGCTACTAAAGCGGCTGTAATTAAACACCTCGGGAGGGCACCACTTCACTGGAAATTTTGCACCAGAAGAACTTGTGTATTGATCGTCCAGAACATACCTAAAGTAAGACACACCACAGGTTTACCCCTCTGAGTTACGATCTATATGTTGCACATGTTCTTTAATTTTTTTTTTTTCCTCTTCGAATCAAAAACACAGTTGACTGAAGTCCAACAAGCATCCGGTTGAAGCTAAATGTTTGCCTCCGTGGCCACGCCTGGTGCTTTCCATCTTCCTCTCAGCTTCACTTACAGGCTTAAGATGGATGCATTGTAACATTAGTATCTGCACTTTCATTTTTCTGTGTGTTTTTCTTTTTTATAAGGCAATAGAGGCAGGACACAATAAAAGAGTTATCTAAGGTTTTTTTTTTGGTAAGCTATTTTGTTCTTTAAACAAAATTTAACCCAAAGGCCCCACATGTAAAACATCTAAAACAGAGCTGCTCTAAAGGAAGTGGTGCAGAGCATCTAGAGACACACGTGCTTTTGGCCCCCACAACTCCACAGAGTACAATTTAAACCTACAGCAAATGAAAAAAGCAAATTGCAAAATGACGTATGTAAATGGTGGAGTATAGATTTATATACCATGACATCCCTCACTCACACACACACTCACACACACACACACACACACTCACACATACACACTCGCGCGTGCGCACACACACACACTCACATACACACATTCACACACTCACACAGGCTCACACACCCATACACTCACACACATACACACTCACACACACATACACTCACACACATACACACACACTCAAAACAATAATTTTTGCTATGCAAGCATACTTACATCCTTCTGGAAGGACACACACAACCTGACAACTTTGGCTACCTCTGGGGAGGACCCTGGATCAGGGTGGTAGATATGGAGACGTGAGCCCTTCCTGTAATGTGTTCAGTATGGATTTACAAGAGGACTGTGTTTACGTAGTACATGCACATATAAAGCTAATTTCTAAAAAGCTCCGTGAAAAAACATCCAAATAATTGCACAAACTTCCTCTGCTACATGGTAACAATGCCACCGTGAGTGGGATCCACGTGCCTGCCCAACAGGGGGGGGTTGAGTTTAGTGTCTAATGAGTGTTTTAGAGGGGCTGATGCAAAAGCATAGATTTTCTGAAAGCCAAACGTATAAAAATCCAACATATGAAACTGGAGGACTGCCTGTCAGAGGAAAATCTTCATAAAAAGCACGAAGAGCACTGGGTAAGTACTACCCTGACAGGCAGGAGTCCTGCTCTCACGAGGAGCTAACCGTGGCCTGTGTGACCTGGTGCTGGGGTAACCCAAGCTTGTCCCAGATTTCAAGCTTTCATACCTGCTGTTTCTTCCACCTGGGATATTTTGTCCTCAGATCGCCACCTCGTTGGCTACTTCTGTCTTGTTGGTCTCTATTCAAATATCCCAGGCTCAAAGAGGTCTCCCAGAGCACCAGATCAGATGCAGCTACCATCACCCCACCCTGTGCCATCACTCAGCGCCCACCCACCCCACCAGCCCCACGTGACCTCTATCTTGAGGGGAGCACATTTTTTCTGTAAAAGGCCAGATGATGAATATTTTCTATTTTTCAGGCCAGTCTCTGTCACCACTAACCAACTCTGCCTTCATCATGTGAAAGCAGCCACAGACAACACATAATGAGTGAGGCTGTGTCCCAATAACACTTTACTTGTGGACACCGACATTTGAATTTCAGATATTTTTCACGTGTCCTAAAATTCTCTTAATTTTTGCCAACCATTTAAAAATTGGAAAACCAGGGGCACCTGGGTGGCTCAGTCGTTAAGCATCTGCCTTCAGCTTAGGTCATGATCCCAGGGTCCTGGGATGGAGCCCCGCATCGGGCTCCCTGCTCAGCAGGAAGCCTGCTTCTCCCTCTCCCACTCCCCCTGCTTGTGTTCCCTCTCTCGCTGTCTCTCTCTCTATGTCAAATAAATAAATAAAATCTTAAAAATTGGAAAACCATTGTTGGCTCACAAGCTGAATAAAAAGAAGTGTTGGGGGCGCCTGGGTGGCTCAGTTGGTTAAGCGACTGCCTTCGGCTCAGGTCATGGTCCTGGAGTCCCGGGATCGAGTCCCACATCAGGCTCCCTGCTCAGCAGGGAGTCTGCTTCTCCCTCTGACCCTCTTCCCTCTCATGCTCTCTATCTCTCATTCTCTCTCTCTCAAATAAATAAATAAAATCTTTAAGAAAAAAAAGGAAAGAAAAGAAGTGTTGGGTCACATTTGGGCCAGAGGCCTTCGTGTGCTGACCCCCACTCAGTCACAATACTGGATTTTCCTCTCTTCGTGATTCTCTCAGGTCTTATGTCTCTCTCTCTCTCCTCCTGAATATAAGAGGCATATGGCAGGGGCTCATACGCCTTATTCTCTGCTATGGTTCAGCCTAACACCCCGGTACATAGTAGGTACCTAATGTTTTCAAGGATGGATGTATGGATGAGTGAACGGACAGAGAGGAGGGAAAGGAAAAACAATACTTTTTAAAGGTCTTTTCTAACACTCTATTAAAATTACAAAAATTAAGAGAATAGAAACACAACAGACTAGGTATTCTAAGAACTGTACCCCTAAACACATTTCTGTGAAAACAAGACTCTAGAAATCTAACCCACCGCCAGGGAGAAAGTAGAACATTTAGCAGGCTATACTCCCACCTAGTGGAGAGAATGAGTAACATCACAATGTATGCTTGTTTTTTAATGATTTATCTCAGAACAGCTAACAAGATTTCCCTTCTATTTCATCACTGCAGATTATTCCCATGCTTATTGGCTCTACAAGCTAATGTGACTATCACCTGACACCACATAATAAAGCAAGAAACAGTCATAATTTCCCAACAATTTTTTACCTGAGAAAAAGCCCACAGTAACAATAAAACAGATACATTCAGCAAAGAAATTTTTCAAAATATAATCTAACTTATTTTATTGCCTTACATCAAAAACACACTAAGAAGCAGAAAAATCAATTAGTCTTCCTATGAAAATGATGGATACTACAAATATTTTGCTAATAGAACAAAAGATGTAGTTTCAAAAACAGCTCTTCTATAGGCTTCAGAAAAAGAAGTCGACACAGTCAAACTGCAAAAAAAGTCAGGCTTTCTATACCTTCAAAGGTACATATTAATTTAATCCAAAATTGAAAGAAATTGCTCACACAGACTCAGCCTTACCTGGCCATTCCAAAATCTGATACTTTCACAACTCCCGCTTCATTTACTAGACAATTTCTGGCAGCCTGGAAAACAACATTTCAATGGTATATTAGTTACAAAGTTCTACAAAGTAGAAAAATATAAATTCTGTTTATATTAAATTTAATATAGCCCAGTCAACATTTACGGAAGGTGGAAATGTCTCTTTATAAATTGGATTTATCCCTGTGGAAATGTCTCCAACATATATTTGAAAAAATGGGTAGAAAGACAGGTCAGGAAGTCATGCAGTAAGACATGATTATATGACTTTGCCAACTGTCACATCTAAATGAAGACTAACAAGGTCAACCTACTTTCCCCCCCTCCCATTTCTATTCTTATTAAACTGTCAGATTTTCTTATTGATGACAACATCTCTTTAAGTCCTTAATCCAGGTTCTCATTAGGTGAGTTTAATAACACACAATAATCAAAGTGATAGGTAACTGATCTTTTACCCAACAGCTTTGCCCAGTGATTGGACATCCTGATCTCAGTAAAAACAACAACAACAACAAAAGAAAACAAAAACAACCATGTGTAACATAGTTTACCTTGTCATTTACAATGTTTCCTATATATTGTGATATGACATATGAAATTGGTCAAATATAATTCTGGATTATTTAAATTATATTTTCTTGCCCATTCTTTAAGGGTGAAAGATTCAAGAAAACAGTTTGGTAAAAAGACATAGTGTTTCACAGAAGGAAAACATGATAACATTTTTAATGCCATATCCTATGGGCTAAGATGCATTTTTGTTCCCGACACTTCTAGCATTTTATTCTCTGTATGTGGCAATTCCACTTATACAAGATTATGCCTGCTGAATGCATTTTAAGAGTCTCTTCTAAAGTTCCCCAGATTTGCCCCCATCTTCCTATGGGGATACCTTATCATTACTTCACTTCATGGTCAACAGCATTCTTTGCCCAAAAGACAAAAGCATCACAATCTTCCCTTCAGGGGTGACACGAACCTACCATGGTGATGTTAATATCATAAGCACAAAATTATCAAAATTGCTTTCATCAAGATATGGTCTGTGTGGACAGATGTAGTCTGCCATATTCATGTAGGCATTCAATTTTCATCAGTTTTGAAAGTACAAAAAAAGAGGAAGGTGCTTAATTCACAACTTCCAATATGACAGAGAGATGTTCTGTATCATCACTGAGCATAATAACAATAATGAATGTTATCTATATCACATTTATCTCACAGAGTCCTTTGCCCCAATCACATAATGCGATCTTTAAAACAGTCTTGGTAAAGGAAAAGCCCAAGACCAGATGGCTTCACTGGTGAATTTTTGGATATGACACCAAAAGCACAAGCAACAAAAGCAAAAATAAATAAGTGATCTACATCAAACTAAAAACCTTTGCATAGCAAAGGAAACAGTCAACAAAATAAAAAGGGAAACTACAGAATGGGAAAAACAATTTGTAAAACCATATATCTGATAAAGAGTTAAAATATAAAGTACATAAGGAACTCATACAACTCAATACCAAAAAAGCAAATAATCCAATTTTTAAAAGGAGCAAAGAACCTGAATACAGAATTAAAAAAAAAAAAAAACACATACAAATGGCCAACAGGTACATGAAAAGGTGCTCAACATCATTAATCATCAGGTAAATGCAAATCAAAACCACAATGAGATGTCACCCCACACCTGTCAGGATGGCTATTATCAAAAACACAAGAGATGGGCGCCTGGGTGGCTCATTCATCAAGTGTCTGCCTTCGGCTCAGGTCATGGTCCCAGGGTCCTGGGATCAAGTCCCACATTGGGCTCCCTGCTCTGCGGGAAGCCTGCTTCTCCCTCTCCCCATTCCCCCTGCTTGTGTTCCCTCTCTCGCTGTGTCTGTCAAATAAATAAAAAAACAAAAACAAAAAAACACAAGAGATGACAAAAGTTGTCAAGGAAGAAAAAGTGGAGAAAGGGGAACCCTTATATACTATTTGTGGGAATCTAACTTGGTACGGCCATTACAGAAAACAGCATGGGGTTTACAAAAAAAAATTAAAAATAGAACTACCATATGATCCAGGAATTCTACTTCTAAATATATACAAAAGGAAATGAAATCAGTACCTCAAAAAGATGTCTGAACTCCCATATTCATAGGAGTATTACTCATAATAGCCAAGCTATGAAATAATCTAACTGTCCATCAATGGATGAGTGAATAAATATGATGTGGTATATCTATACAGTGGAATATTATTCAGCCATAAAAAAAAAAATCTTGTCATTGTGGCAACACGGATGAACCTGGAAGGCATTATGCTAAAGAAAAATACCTTATGATATCATTTATATATGGAATCTTAAAAAAAAAAATGTAGAACTCAGTATGTTCTGAGGAGCTAATGGATAGCATAACTATAATAATACTTTATTGTTTACTTGCAATTTACTAAGAAAGTGCATCTTAAGCATTCTCACCACATGTGAGGTATGGATATAATTAACTGGACTTTGATAATCATTTCATAATGTATGCATATATCAAGTCATTATGTTGTTTAGTTTAAATATATGCAATTTTGTCAATTACACCTCAATAAAGCTGAGGGGAAAACAGTCTTGTGAGCAAACCCATATTATAACCCACCTATAATTTACAGATGCAGAAAAAGAATCTAAGAGAGATTAGATAACTACCCTAAAACACATTTAGAAGTCAAGTCTTCCACTTACAAATATTCAACTCCTTATTATGCCCTAAGTCTAGACATCGCATACTATAGTAGGTATAGTGTAGACTCTGGAGCTGAACTCTCTGGGTTCAAATTCTGACTCCACACTATACTTGCCTATTGGTAAGTTATTTTATCCCATTTACACCTCAGTTTCCTCATCTGTAAAGTGAGAAGAATAGTCATACCTACTTCTCATGATTACATGAGCTGATATATGTTAAATACCTATAAAAGCAATGCCTGTTTAAGGTGACTGTTAATTTTTTTAAAATGTTTTGCTGCTATTGCAGAAGAAATGCATCCATGCTTTATGACAAGAAAGTTAAAACTCAAACATGGAAAAATCCCAGGTAGAGAATCACATTCTTTTTGGTGAAAGAATCATCTTCAAGGTTTAACAGGAACTGATAGTTCTGTCATCGTGCTGAAAATAGACACATTTGAGGAAAATAGGCAGAGAAGAAAAAGAGAAAAGAAAGAATAGAGGAGATAGGGAGACAGAGTCAGGGGAGGGGAAAAATTAAGAAGTGTCTCCATCACAATATTTTAGAACCAATAATAGATTCCTTTTTCTAGTATTTTCAGGAGTTAACGTGGGCCTCCACGTTTTCCCAGTGACTTCAGAAATCAGGAAAATAAACCAAGGATTTCTGTTATGGTTTCTGCTTACATTGTGTGAGGTGGAAAAGAGTTTAGGATTTAGTGAAAGGAGGAGTCAACCCTTAACTTCCCCATTTATCACCTTAGGTAAGTCATTTCACTTCTCTCAAGCTAATTTTCCTATCAAACAACAATGATCAGAAAGACTGTTGTGACTAACTATCACATGAGATTCTTATGGAGATCAAATCGTTATTATATGGTAAGTTGCTCAGAAACAATGACCTATGTAGTCACATATTATTTATGCAATTGCTTATGTAATTATGTATTATATGTGTTAGATTTGATCAAGATTTTTCTGTTAAAATTATGAGGCAAGTTAAATTTACCAGGTTTAAAGATAATGGTGAAACATCGTTGAGAACAGAAATTGGATATTAATACACCATTGCTCATTTGCTGCCCCGGTGTTACAAAGGAATTCAGCCACTAAACGGGAATACAGGTGGTTAGGATTACCAGATCTCTGTGGATGAAGCTGTTTCTTTCCAGGTACTCCATCCCTTCACACACATCTTGACACATGCTCAGCAGCACATCTCTACTAAAATGACCTTGTCTCTGTCGGAGGAAATTCAGAAGACAGCCCCTTTCCATGAACTCGGTAACAATGTAAATCGGTTTCTGCTGGGTGCATACACCATAAAGCTGCACTAGCTTCGGGTGTGTCAGCTTCCTGGGAGGGAAGTCATACATACACATAGTTACTAAAGGAAAAGAAACCCGCAGGGCTATTAGCTGATGAGAGGCTACTTTTTAATGCAAAAAGAGGAACCAGAAAGAACCGGTAACTTACATCATCACTTTAGCTTCTTCTATAAAGTCTTCCTCACACATGGCACCTTCCCTAATAGCTTTGATTGCCACTTTGTACTGAGCTCTCCACTTGCCTAGCCTCACCACTCCAAACAGTCCGCTGCCCAGTTCCCTCATAAAGGTCAGCTCTGAAGGATTGATCTCCCATTTTTCTGTGAGACAGAGGGGGAAAGTGATAACATTTAATAAGGAGAACACAGCATGAATCAGTGGAGAACGGAGAAACGACAACCAGTCAATGTCAAAGTTACAGGATAATAGAATTATCAGTAAAACATAGAACAGACTTGCAACCTACATCTAAACTGCAAAAGGTGGCTTTCCAGCCTCTGGGGAGGGTGTACTCCCTCCTAAGCCATCATAATATAACCAAAGTGAACAAGAGAAGGCAAGAAGATGCTGAATAAGAGACTAATAATAATAGAGCTTAAAGGTACTTAGAAAAAAACCAGATCAAATACTCCTTTACCATTCATCCCCCTCCGCTTGTTGTACCCCGCCCCCAATTATATCAGGTTGGAAAGAATTTAATCCTCTGTTTAAAAGGCTTTTGCTAGAAGCCACAAAGACAATCAAGTTGGATGCCTTCTTTATTACCTCCAACCTTACTTTCCTGTGATTAACCAATCAAGCTGGTGAGAACCAGAAAAGGATTTGATTTATTTTAGAAATAACATGGTAATGCTTATTTTTCACCAAGAGAAAGTTTTTTGCTGAATTATGAATAGGATGAAAACAGAAAATCTAGGGTTACCATAGCTACAAGGATAATCACCTAAAACCCCATACTATAAAACTGTAAAAACAGTTCTACCATGTGGGATTCTAACATCTAAATTGGTCTTGTGGTAATGGATTTTTTTTCTAAGGAAAATTAGCCAATGCAACTACAAAACGAGTTACCATAGCTGAATCCTGCAGTGGTTGGTGCATTCTTCTCCTTCGTACTAACTGGGTACCGCAGTCTTGTGACAAGTCCTGGAAGTCAGAGAAAGCATTGAAATTGAATTCATTCTTAATCATTCTGCATGGGAAAGCGCTAAACTTAGACACTCATGTATAAAGGCCGTTCATTTATCCACTTAGTGCTCATCCTCTGTGTACATACAGCACTCTGCTATAGCTAACAAAAAATAAAAAGAAAGGAAGGCAGGCAGGAAGATGATCTTGTTCTTTGGAATTGACAATTTTTATGGAACATAAAAAACTTTTTTACATATATGTGTTTTTATTCACTCAACAAACATTGCCTTCTCAATACAACAGTGTTTACCAAGCACTGAGCTAGCATATTCTCAAATATTTTTTTTTAAATGTTAAAAAAGGTGGGGCACCTGGGTGGCTCAGTTGGTTCAGCGTCTGCCTTCGGCTAAGGTCATGATCCCAGGGTCCTAGGACAGAGCTCCAAATCGGGCTCCCTGCTCAGCGGAGAGTCTGCTTCTCTCTCTCTCTCCCTCTGCCCCTCCCCACTGCTCGTTCTCTTTCTCTCTCAAATAAATAATAATAAATAATAAATAAAATCTTTTAAAAATAAGTAAAATGTTAAAAGGTTTCTAACAGCTATTATCAATTATTATTTCATGGTCTTTTCCAATATGATCTGAACTATGAAAGGAAATTAAGGGAATTACTAGTCTATTAAAAATTAAAGTGATTCACCTTGAATAACTCAGTACTAGTAAGCTTAGCATAAATATGGGGCTTTAAAATATCAACAGCTGGGACCCCAAATAGCTAAAGCAACGCTGAAAAAGCAAAGCAAAGCTGGCAGCATCACAATTCCGGATTTCCAGCTCTATTACAAAGCTGTCATCATGAAGACAGTATGGTACTGGCACAAAAACAGAAACATAGATCAATGGAACAGAATAGAAAACCCAAAAATGGACCCATAAGGTTAACTTATCTTCGACAAAGCAAGAAAGAATATTCAATGGAAAAAAGACAGTCTCTTCAATAAGTGGTGTTCAGAAAACTGGACAGCAACAGAGGAATGAAACTGGACCACTTTCTTATACCAGACACAAAAATAAATTCAAAATGGATGAAAGACCTAAACGTGAGACAGGAAACCATCAAAATCCCAAAGAAGAACACAGGCAGTAACCTCTTGGACCTCAGCCATAGCAACTTCTTACTAGACACGTCTCTGGAGGCAAGGGAAATGAAAGCAAAAATGAACTATTGGGACTTCATCAAGATAAAAATCTTTTTTTTTTTAAAGATTTTTATTTATTTATTTGACACACAAAAGAGAGAGCGAGCACAAGCAGGGGTAGCTGCAGGCAGAGGGAGAGGGAGAAGCAGGCTCTCCGCTGAGCAGGGACCCTGGGATCATGACCTGAGCTGAAGACAGACGCTTAACCGACTGAGCCACCCAAGCACCCAAGATAAAAACCTTCTGCACAGCGAAGGAAACAATCAATAAAACTAAAAGGTAACCTACAGAATGGGAGAAGGTATTTGCAAATGTCATATCAGATAAAGGGCTAGTATCCAAAATTTATAAAGAACTTATCAAATTCAAAACCCAAAAAACAAATTATTCCAGTTAATTTAATGTTAATCCAGTTAAGAAATGGCAGAACACATAAGTAGATATTTTTCCAAAGAAGACATCCAGATGGCTAACAGACACATGAAAAAATGTTCAACATCACTCGGCATCAGGGAAATACAAACCAAAACCACAATGAGATACCACCTCACACCTGTAAGAATGGTTAAATTAACAACACAGGAAACAACAGGTGTTGGCGAGGATGCGGAGAAAGGAGAAACGTCTTACGCTGTTGGTGGGAAAGCAAGCTGGTGCAGCCACTCTGGAAAACAGTATGAGGGTTCCTCAAAGAGTTAAAAATAGAACTACCCTATAATCTAGCCATTGCACTACTAGGTATTTACCCAAAGGATACAAAAATACTGACTCAAAGGGATATATGCACCCCAATGTTTATAGTAGCATTATCAACAATATCCAAACTTGGGTGCCTGGGTGGCTCAGTCGGTTAAGATTTGCCTCTAGCTCAGGTCATGATCCCAGGGTCCTGGGATGGAGTCCCACATGGGGCTCCATCCCAGGGTCCTGGGATGGAGTCCCACATGGGGCTCCCTGCTCAGCGGGGAGCCTGCTTCTCCCTCGCCTCCCTGCTCATGCTCTCTCTCACTATCTCTGTCTGTCTCTCTCTCAAATAAATAATAAATAAAATCTTAAAAAAAAATAGCCAAACTATGGAAAGATCCCAAGTGTCCATCGACTGATGAATGGATAAAGAAGAGGTACACACACACACACACACACACACATATACACAATGGAACACTACTCAGCCATCAAGAAGAATGAAATCTTGCCATTTGCAACGATGTGGATGGAGCTAGAGGGTATTATGCTAAGCGAAATAAGTCAGTCAGAGAAAGACAAATACCATATGATTTCACTCATCTGTGGAATTTAAGAAACAAAACAGATGAACATATGGGAGGGAGGAAAAAAGAGAGAGGGAAACAAACCATAAGAGACTCTTAACAGGGGCACCTGGCTGCCTCAGTTGGTTGAGCGCCTGCCTTCAGCTTGGGTCATGATCCTGGAGTCCCGGGATCCAGCCCTGCATCGGGCCCCCTGCTCAGCCGGAAGTCTGCTTCTCCCTCTCTCTTTGCTCCTCCCCTGCTCGTGCTCTCTCTGTCTCACTCACTCACTCTCTCTTAGAAAAATAAGTAACACTTTTTAAAAAAGAGAGAGAGAGAGAGACTCTTAAAGATAGAGAACAAACTGAGGGTTGATGGAAGGAGGTGGGGGATGGGCTACACGGGTGATGGGTATTAAGGAGGGCACTTATGATGAACACTGGGTGTTGTATGTACATGATGAACCACTTAACTCTGCTCCTGAAACCAATATTATGCTGTACGTTAACTAACTAGAATTAAATAAAAATTTGGGGAAAAAATGAAATAAAATACCAACAACTGGGAATACCAACCACTGGAAATCAGTGAGGTAGGTTAGACACTTTAACGTAAGTTGCTTACAGCACTAAATATGAAGAAAGGCAGATATCTCTCCCATAGGCACCCATAGCACTCTGTGTTTCTTCGATTACAGCATATCTCACAGTAACTTGAAATTGTTATATACTTCTCTGTCTCGCCTACCAGATGGTAAGATCTGAGAGAGACAGGATCAATGACTGTCTAGTGCACCATAGCCTCCCTAGAGCCAGGCACAGTTCCTGGCATGTAACCGGTACTCAAGTCATGTTTGCTACATGAGTGAATTTAGATACTGCTGAAGAATAAAATGTATACAAGAACACACACACACACACAAAAGAAAGAAAGAAGGGAATGTGAACACTACAAAAGAAAATAACAGAGTAAGAGATAAAAAAAAGTTCTTTGGGGGATAAATTGATATGAAAGTAGCTCTTCACATGTTAAACACAGAGTTAACATATAACCCAGCAAATTCACTCCTAGGTAAGTCACCAAGAGAAATGAAAGATATTTCCATGCAAAAACTTGTACACAAATGTTCACAGCAGCATTATTCATAACAGCCAAAATGTGGAAACAACCCAGATGTCTACCAACTGATGAATGATGACAAAATGGATTAAAAAAAAATTAACACAGTGGATTATTTGTCAATAAAAAGGAATGGAGCACTTATACAGGCTACAATATGGACAAATGTCAGAAACATTATGTTAAGTCACTCAAGCCAGTTACAACAGACCACATATTATATGATTCCATTTATCTGAAATGTCCAGAACAGGCAAATCTAGAGAGACAGCAAGTAGATCACTGGCTGCCAGGGGCTAGACTGATGAAAGGGGGCCGATGAGTGATAGGTAATGGGTACAAGGCTTCTTTTGGGGATGATGAAAATGCTCTTAGATTATAGGATACTTGGCACCATTCTAAATATACTAATGACCCATGAACTGTATACTTTAAATGGGTGATTCTTATGATATTTAAATTATACCCCAATAACTGTTCCTATCATTATCTGAGAACATGGGCATAAATGTGGTTTTTGTTTTTGGTGTTTGGTTTGTTCCCACTCTGGTAGTAAGTACAGCAGAGATTCAGGAAGATGGAAAACTTGTCCAGGACATGATTACTCTAGTCTTTGGAAGCCAACAGCATAGCCCTAAACCCTGGGCTTGTTTGCTAGCTTCTGTGACGTCTCTGACATGGACATATCTTGGGTTTTAGTTTCATGCAGTTAAAGAAAGGAAACTATTCAATGACACCTCTAAAGGTGATAAGGCAGACTTTATTTAGGACCACTGTGATTGGTATAGGGACCACAGCAATGGGATTTTAGAGTTCGAGAGAGATTGGGTTCAACTCCAAATATAGCATGGGAATTTACAGACAAAGGGGAATTTATAGACAAAGAGAAGGGTCGGGGTCAGTGGATGGAAAATTGCTAAGAGAAATGCTGGGGAGTGGGGGGTTCTGGAATACACCTATCTGAGAGGATTTTGCTGAAGACAAGCCAGGGTAACCAGACATCACCTGGTAGAAAATAAGGAATCTGATCAGATATTGTGTGTGAGCAGATATCAGATGTTAAGGTGGGAGTTCCGGTTAAACTGACTTAGCAGGGTTCTTGCTAAAAATTGGATATTACAAGAAAGTGCACAAATGGGTCTAGGAGATGCTTCAGGAGTCTGACTAAAGCTTGGTCAAGTAAAGAATCTTTGTCAGTACCACGGGTATAAATCACAGAAATGTGAACATTTATCATATACAACAAGAATAACTCATGTCCTAAGGTCAAGACAGCTTTTTATGAGACTTATTATTTCTATTATTTCTATTTTCTCATATTTTTATGAGACTTATTATTTCTATTTTTTCTTTGTATATATCGCTTCCTTAATATGCAATAATTTTAAACTAATCACATTCTATAATTAACTATAAATTGAAACTGCCCAAGGAAGAATCCATCACAATGTCTGATCATTTTAATCACTACCCTATATTTGAAAAATGTTTTACTAGATCACTTACCTGCTGCATTGTGCTTATGATATTCAATAATCTCAGGAATTGAACCAAATGCATGTTTTTCTGCCAGATAATACTTCTTTGGGGATGTTGTTGTTTCCTTTATATGATAATGCCTGAAACCTGACGAGCCCTCACTGAAACAAAAATACAAATGTGTTAGCACCAAGTTGGAATAATGTAACTTCATTCTTAAGATGTTTTCCACCAGGCAACCACGGGTCCCTACATATAACCCCTTCTGTTCTCTGCACAACTTTTATTTTTTCCCCATGTTCTTCTTAGCTTTGCCTTTCACATTAACAGGTGGAAGTTTTTAAAGTGGTCACTGATAACATACTTGGCCCTTGCATGAGATTATGAAGGAAAAGATTTACCAATTCCATTTACCAACAGTTAAGAGTCTTAAAATAGTTATTAGCTGACTACTGTTCTTTGTCCCTGCTATTGATGTAAACTTGCAAACATCTAGAAGACTTACGCTTCTAAAAATGAATAAGCTGCCTTATAAAAAATGTACAAATTCTATTTTAGGTATCTTTTTAGAACACAGATCTCAAGTCATCTCTTGCTAAAGATCCTTTCAAGAGAACTCCCTCTGCTCTTAAAGCTCCTTGACACTGATGTGAGCTGACCTCTAGTTTTATCTCTTAGGGTTCGCTTTCCTCCCTCACCCCACCCCTCCCATTCCGGCTATAATATGCTTTTGTCAGTTCCTGGAACTCACAATATCCTCACTCAATTCTGGGTCTAGGCAGTTTCCTAAATCAGAAACACTCTTTCCCCTCCCTCCAACTTCTGCCCTCATCACCCATCAGGTCTGGCTAGATGTCCCCAGACTACATTTGTGATGAACTGGGATATCTCTCTAGGCTGTGTACCACCCCCCCACACACATACACACATTCTCTATGAGCATAGCACTTACTCATGTACTACCATAACTGCCTTTGCTTGTCTGAATCCCCCACTAAGCTATCAGAAGGCAGGGTCAGTGCCTACTTTGTTCACTGTGATATCCTTAGTGCTTAGCACAATGCACAATAATTATTTCTTGAATGTTGCTCAAGTTTCTATAGACATTCTCAACAGATATATACACACACATGTGTGTGTGTGTATATATATATGTATATATGTATATATATGGAAAACCATAAGAAAATTTACCAAGTATAGGAAATATGGATATAAGGAAATATGAATATAAAAAGTAGGACAGACTTTAGAAATCAAATTTAGATTTTCTTGTTTAATGCTAAAATGCAGCATATTTTTTGAAATTTAGGAATCCACACAAACTATATAGGAACTTCATAAAAAAACTCTTAGAGAGGGAGAGATGATTGATTGAGTACTTACCCTCCAAACTTTGTATAAAGGGAGACTGTGTACATGCCTGGTTGACTGGAATCCCTTACCATGAAACCACCTTCTTTATCCTAAAATCCAAGTTAAGAAAATTTTTTCAATCCAATAACAAGTATCAATGCCATAGAGAAGATTCAGGAAACCAATCTTACAATTTCATGATTATTCCTTGCCCAGAAAATCTGTTTTGGAGAAGCACAACTTACCAACACCGTGCACCTGCATGACTTTCCCCTTCACTTTACTGTGCTATGAGATTAGATCAAGAAAGTACTCTCACAGTTTCCCACAATCACCAATCTTCACACAAACCAGCATGAGACATTTCAGCAAGATATCTCGCAGGGCCCTTCCAGAACCAATACACAAGATGTTGCAATTCCTTTAAGTTCTGGACATGTGGGGAAACAGTTACTGAAAAATGTATTTCTTAATAACTGGCTTTCATTTCATACATTTTTCATATTTGCTATAAGCTTTGAATCCTGACTCAATATCATCTTCTATCCACACAGCATTTTTCTGTAAATATCTCAGTGCTCTTTATAAGAACATTTTTTAAAAAATCCTAATTCCCCTGGAAATCAATGTTAAATATCATTGTTCACAAAAGGAGAGTTGGAAGCAAGTAACTCAAGCAGAGAAAACCAGAAGATGAAACAACACAGAATGACTAAAAGTTAAGTCCTTATCAGGTTTTAAGCCAAACAGCAAGAAACAGAAGCTAGGAACCTCCAATACCTCCCCACCAATACCACCACCATCAGTCTCCAGCTCTGAAATTGCTTTAAGATGAGAGTGTGTTTAGTAGTTGAAAACCAAAATAAATTTGATTATTAGGACAATGAATTAAATAAAGCCCCACAAATAAATCAGATAAAAACAATTAGGTACAATCAATGATCATAATAGTTCACCGATCAGTAAAAAGTATAACAGCTTCCATATATTTATTGAGAGCTTACTCTGTTTTAGTAGGTTCTAATATGTGGATTTACTTAATCCTCAAAACAGTCCTATGAGACAGGTACTACTGTTAACCCCGCTTTATTTCACAGGTAGGGAAATGGGGCACAAAGAGGTTGGATAATATGCCCCAGATCACACAGCTAGTGAGTAGCAGAGCCAAAATTTGGACCCTAGGTTTTCTAGCTATCCACTCACCTACAGCTGCCTCTCATTGTGGGGTCACCAGTGAGGCATATAAGGACCACGTCAGGGAGTAGGTGTGGTAACATATTTGAATCAAGCAGTCACCTTCTTTTGCTCTCAACATAAACTACAGAAATAAGCGTCCAACAAAACCTTGACTGGTGGTAATAAGCAGGAGATGAGAAAACATGGGTTTAAAAAAATTGAGAACTATGAGCGCCTGGGTGGCTCAGGTCATGATCCCAGGCTCCTGGGATCGAGTCCTGCATCGGGCTCCCTGCTCAGCGGGGAGTCTGCTTCTCCCTCTGACCCTCCCCCCTCTCATGCTCTCTCTCTCTATCTCATTCTCTCTCTCAAATAAATAAATAAAATCTTTTAAATAGATAAATAAATAAATAAATAAATAAATAAATAAATAAATTGAGAACTATTACTAAATAGAATAACTAGATCACAAATGCAGAGAATTATACAGATCATCATCTAATCCAACCTGCTCATCTTACAGATGGGCAAAACAGACGAGAAAAGTCACAACTAGATTCAGGTCTCCTTACTCAGTCCATTGCAGCTTCTTCTATACTACACCTTATCCTTTCATTTTATTTCTTTTTAAAGTGTAAGAATTTTAGTACATTTATTATGTATTATTATTTGGCACATTTATCTCTAAAGCCAACTAAATAGTTATTAAACCTTCATTTGTAAAAGATATCATGTAATATTGATGTAAATTGTTTTTAAAAAGCAACTTCAAAAACCAATGATGTAGGATACGTTGGCTAACTGAATTTAAACTAAAAAAAGTAACTTCAAACAAAAAGGAAAAACACATTTAAGGACTAAAATCCAGGTAGCAGATAATAAATCAGTGAGAAAGGAAGTAAATAAAGTGTTACCCACAGCTTTACCTATTAGTATGGGTTTAATTGTTTCCCCCTCACAAAAGATACGTTGGAGCCCTAACCCCCAGTACTTCAGAATGTGACCGTACTTGAGAGTTACAGATGGAATCGAGTTGAAATGAGATCAGTAGGCTGGCCCTAATCTAATGATGGAATTCTTATATGAAAGGGAAATCTAGACACAGAGACAGAGGTGCATGGAGGGAAAAAAAGGCAGGACGCCTAGGACAGATCCCTCCCCCTCCCTCACAGTCCTCAGAAGGAGCCAACCCTGCTGGCATCCTGATTTCAGACTCTAACTCTAGAACCACGCGACAATACATTTCTGTTGCTTAAGACACTCAGTGCGTGGTATCTTGTTTTGGCGGCCCCAGGAAACTAATACTATACCGATCCTCAATTTTATATGATTAAAAAGAACCACTTATATCACAGTATTTTTGAGGCTTTAGAAACGGGTATGTGAAATCACTTCTCAGATTCTGTTACAATTAATTTGTGCTGAAACCAAACCCACAAAACAAGTACAAATACTTACTTCACTTCTGAGGAGCTGCTCTGCTTTGCTTCTATTCGTATTTCTGCAATACCACCTGAACAGAAAAAGAAGTACCTTTAAGGCCTCCGGTGTTTTAAATTATTTTTTATTCTTTTTAGGATTAAGGTAATACTGCCCATCAATAACAAATAAAATTAATAGGAATAAGACATTACTCATAATCTCAGTAATATAGGCAACCACTAGTAACATTCGGATATATATACTTTCAGACTTTTTCTACCCACATATTCTTTTAAAGATTTTATTTATTTATTTGACAGAGAGAGACACAGTGAGAGAGGGAACACACGTGGGGGAGAGGGAAAAGGCTTCCCGCCGAGCAGGGAGCCCAATGCAGGACTCGATCCCAGGACCCTGGGATCATGACCTGAGCCGAAGGCAGATGCTTAAGGACTGAGCCACCCAGGCGCCCCTCTACCCACATTTTTTTGATGATATGCACATATGCCAACATTCATATTTTTTATTAAAGTGGGATCAAACTATACCTGCTATATCATAACCAGAATTTTTTTCTATAACAGCATATGACGGACATCTTTGCAAAGCAATCTAGTTCTGTGCATCACGGTATGGACATGCCATAATTTATTTAAGCTATTCTTCATTATTTAACATAAAAATCATTTCCAAATTTTCACTATTGTAATAATAGCAAGAATAAATTTTACTCCACAAATTCAAACATGTAGGAAACATCACCCAACTTTCATTATTGTATTTAATTCAAATTAAATCTTACCCCAAGCCCCCATCCCACCAATAGGCTGTAGATTTCATCTCAAGTCATTATGGAGGCTCCCCCATTGAATTTCACAAAGGTGCCAAGTGTCAAAGAAACAGAGCAAAATAGAAGAGTAGGCTTCCTGGGTCTTCTAGACAACACCTGGAGATCACCTGAGGCTCTACTGTAGGGATTCCACCATAGCCACGTAGAAGCGCCTGCCCCCCGCCCCCAACCAGGTCCTGCCACCACGCTGTACAACAAACCCGAGCCCCTGCAGATCAGTGCCCTTCTTAATCCTTGCAAAATCTTTCCCAAGGAAAGATGGAAACTGCCATCTCCCACCTCATCCTCAGAAATACTCCGCCCTCTCCCTGCTTCCCCAGCCCAATCTTTTCATGAGATTGTAAGTTGGCCAAAGAACATGAACTCAGACTGTTTTCTTTGGCCTTCTGTTTTAAACTTTTTGTTGTTGTTTGTTTTGATCTGTTTGTTCTAGATGCCCTTTAAGTGAGCAAAAAACCCTCCACCACAGTCATATTTCCTGAGGCTTACAACGTTATGAAACCAGACTGGCCCCTCTGGACATTTTAATTTCCTACCACAGGTTCAGTCTTCTATAAAAGAACTTGGCACCTACTTTTGACCCAGCAAGCACCCTGAGACAAGCAAACATAAAGGCCTTCTCTGATGGAGGAAGGGAAAAATACAATGACCAAAATACAATAACAAGATCTTTTTTGGGTCTAGATTCTTTTACGTACTTGTAGCAGCCAAACTACAATGTCAATACAATGACTGCTATTTTATTTGGAGACTGGGGTGATTAACCAGAATTATGGGCATTAAGATCTCATTGCTGAGGACCCCACTTTATGAACTGAGACCAAGTTTAACAAAAGTGCAGTTGGTTGTAATCAATCAATTTCTGAATAAAAAAGAGAGATACAATAAATGAGGAGAACAGAATGGATTCTGTCCCTAAGCTTCTCCACCGATAACAAGAAACATTTGTCAGAATGCCAAAAAAGTCATAAAAATTAATTAAGGAAAGGCAACTGGAGCTCTCGTGGTGTATTATAAACCAGCAGGACCTGAAAGATTAAGGAAAAAAAAAATCTCTTTATAAATAACAAAGACCCAACCCCATATCTTCACAGCAGGAGTAAGCATTGGAGGTTTAGTCTCACGTTCAGATGTAAGAAATCAGTAAGGCTGCCTCTAGAGGAAATTAACTTTAAGATATTCAGAGAGAGAAAGAGGTTCTTTACTCATCTAGTATATTCACAGTTTCTGGGAAGGGAAAAAGGAAATAAGAAAGAAAAGGAATCCATGGCACAAAGGGCAGGCAGGCTTTTTGAAATCCTGCCCTAAGCAGTCATTTTTATAGCATTTGCAGATTCCCCAGAAAGTATATTTTCCCTCCTTAGGATGTAAGCTCAGACCTTTAAGAGTATGTTGAAGGAAGGGAAGGAGGAAGGAGTGATGAACAAACAGATGAATCAATTCGTGGTGAGTATTTTCCAATGGTCCATTGTGGCTTCCCTCCCTCTTCTGTGGTACTTCTCACCAGGCGAGAAGGGAAAGACAGGGGTGCCTCGGCTGCACTCATCCTGGCAGGAAGAACGCTACACACGGGCGATCATGAAGGAGCCCCCATGGTGAGCAGGAGCGCGGGTGCAGATGCCAGCCCCCAGACATCTCTCCGAGCCTGCCGCAGACACACCTCTGTGAATAGGAGGTTACTTAGCTGCCCTGGATGAAGGAACACACTCTACACCTAAAAAGAATGGCCTGGGATTTGCAAGTAACTGGTCAGTCTGTCTTTAGATTATCAAAACCTGATGGGAATGAGGTTTTCAGAGTGGCTAGTCATTTCAAAACACTCCAGAGGAGCAGGACTTCATAGCGGTGTCTGAACAGAGAAGAAAAGGAGATTTGGGGATACTCAGGCTTTTCGGGAAAGTTCAGATGCTGGCCAAGCTTCTTGGGGAGGATGGGTTGAGTAAATCACCAAGGGGAAGACAACCAGTATAAATGGAGGAAAAACAGAAACCAACCAACCAACCAGCTATAAATCTTTGCTGGTTCTCTAATTTGACCCTTTCCTCCTGAGCCACCCGCTTAAAAGCCTTATCCTAGACTTTGCCCTGTTCTAAGGGCCCTTTCATGTCGGTCCCCTCCTTCCTTTAACATCTTTCCATCAAGAACATGTCCTGACCAACACCATGATCCCACTTTCTTTCCTGCAGCAGCTCCTTTGACCCTCTCTGCCTCCAACCGTTACCTGGGTGTGGGGGTCAGAACCAAGTTCTGATAGCCCTGGGAGCCTCGGGCCTGGCAATCCTGAGTCCAGCCCTGTGGACAGTCTGTTGCCGGGGACTCCTAGGCCCAAACAAACAGCAGGAGAACTCTTGATTCAATAGCTGGCAAAATGCTTTTTAACCCTGGGGACATTTAAGATGTGTTCCAGCATGGGCTGTAGCAAAGAACAAGACAAATCTTGGCCTGGGAAGACTGGGAGGAGAGGGGGATCTCTGATGGTCTACGTGGAGAATAGGTTTCATCTTTCTCATTGAGCTAGGCATGGCCCATGCCATGTGGAATTTCTGAGCCTGGGCAGAGGACTGGGGGATTCCCATGCCAGAGACCATACACAGCAAATTCCCTGAGTCACACAGAGGAGGAGGAGAGTCCCTTGCAAGAGAGGAAATTTCTGAACTAAGATAAATCCAAAAAACTCATGGCAATGAATCATAGCCTTTATAAAATCCTTATTCGTAATCCCATGAGTCAGGGGAGTTCTCATAGTTAGATGAGGATTATCTGGTTTCCAAGCACAGCCCTTCCCAAATCATCAGTTAGGTCTCAGTCAGATCACTTTAAAATTGGGTACAAGTTTTCGCTGTTAAGCACCTTCTCTAATTCTAAGGATTTTGCTATATTTTCCTAAAATTTATTTAAGAACAGAAACACTATTTATTTTACATATTTTGTATACCCTTACCTATTTCTAAAACAACTTTCAGGAAATCACATCCCTGAGTGCTATTAATCTTTTTCTAGATCTTAAGGGATACTTACATTACAGAAAGTGATATGGACAGAGGAGACAGCTTTTTCTTGGTGGTGGTGGTGGTGTTTTATTTTATTATTTTTTTTTCTTTTTTCTTTTTATTAACATATAATGTATTGTTTCAGGGGTACAGGTCTGTGATTCATCAGTCTTACACAATTCACAGCACTCATCATAGCTCATACCCTCCCCAATGTCCATCACCCAGCCACCCATCCTTCCCACCCACCTCCACTCCAGCAACTCTCAGTTTGTTTCCTGAGATTAAGAGTCTCTTATGGTTTGTTTCCCTCTCTGCTTTCATCTTGTTTCATTTTTCCCTCCCTTCTCCTATGATCCTCTGCTTTGTTTCTCAAATTCCACATATCAGCGAGATACTATGATAATTATCTTTCTCTGACTGACTTATTTTGCTTAGCATAATACCCTCTAGTTCCATCCACATCATTGCAAACGGCAAGATTTCATATTTTGATGGCTGCATAATATTCCATTGTATATATACACCACGTCTTCTTTATCTATTCATCTGTTGATGGACATCTAGGTTCTTTCCATAGTTTGGCTATTGTGGACGTTGCTGCTATGAACACTGGGGTGCATGTACCCCTTCGGATCACTACTTTTGTATCTTTGGGGTAAATACCCAGTAGTGCAATTGCTAGGTTGTAGGGAAGCTCTATTTTCAACTTTTTGAGGAACCTCCATACTGTTTTCCAGAGTGGTTGCACCAGCTTGCATTCCCACCAACAGTGTAGGAGGGTTCCCCTTTCTCTGCATCCTTGCCAACATCTGTCATTTCCTGACTTGTTAATTTTAGCCATTCTGACTGGTGTGAAGTGGTATCTCATTGTGGTTTTGATTAGTATTTCCCTGATGCCAAGGGACGTTAAGCACTTTTTCATGTGTCTGTTGGCCATCTGGATGTCTTCTTTGCAGAAATGTCTGTTCATACCTTCTGCCCATTTCTTGATTGGATTTTTTGTTCTTTGGGTGCTGAATTTGATAAGTTATTTATAGATTTTGGATAATAGCCCTTCATTTGATATGTCATTTGCAAATATTTTCCATTCTGTCGGTTAGATTTTGGTTTTGTTGACTGTTTCCTTTGCTGGGCAAAAGATTTTTATCTTGATGAAGTCCCCATAGTTCATCTTTGCCCTTGCTTCCCTTGCCTTTGGCAATGTGTCTAGGAAGAAGTTGCTGCGGCTGAGGTCAAAGAGGTTGCTGCCTGTGTTCTCCTTTAGGATTTTGATGGATTCCTGTCTCACATTTAAGTCTTTCATCCATTTTGAGTCTATTTCTGGGTGTGGTGTGAGGAAATGGTCCAGTTTCATTCTTCTGCATGTGGCTGTCCAATTTTCCCAACACCATTTGTTGAAGAGACTGTCTTTTTTCCATTGGACATTCTTTCCTGCTTTGTTGAAGATTAGTTGACCATAGAGTTGAGGGTCCATTTCTGGGCTCTCTATTCTGTTCCATTGATGTATGTGTCTGTTTTCGTGCCAGTACCATACTGGCTTGATGATGACAGCTTTGTAATAGAGCTGGAAGTCCGGAATTGTGATACCACCAACTTTGCTTTTTTTTTTTTCAACATTCCTCTGGCTATTCGGGGTCTTTCTGGTTCCATACAAATTTTAGGATTATTCCATTTCTTTGAAAAAAGTGGATGGTATTTTGATGGGGATTGCATTAAATGTGTAGATTGCTCTAGGTAGCATTGACATCTTCACAATATTTGTTCTTCCAGTCTAGAGCATGGAACGTTTTTCCATTTCTTTGTGTCTTCCTCAATTTCTTTCATGAGTATTTTATAGTTTTCTGAGTACAGATCCTTTGCCTCTTTGGTTAGATTTATTCCTAGGTATCTTATGGTTTTGGGTGCAATCGTAAAAGGGATCAGCTCCTTAATTTCTCTTTCTTCTGTCTTGTTGGTGTATAGAAATGCCACTGATTTCTGTGGATTGATTTTATATCCTGCCACTTTACTGAATTCCTGTATGAGTTCTAGCAGTTTTGGGGTGGAGTCTTTTGGGTTTTCCACATAAAATATCATATCATCTGCAAAGAGTTTGACTTCTTCTTTGTTGATTCAGATGCCTTTTATTTCTTTTTGTTGTCTGATTGCTGAGGCTAGGACTTCTAGTACTATGTTAAATAGCAGTGGTGACAGTGGACGTCCCTGCCATGTTCCTGACCTTAGGGGGAAAGCTCTCAGTTTTTCCCCACTGAGAATGATATTCACTGTGGGTTTTTTATAGATGGCTTTTACGATATTGAGGTATGTATGGTGGTGGTGCTTTTAAGTAAGTGAATGAAGCATCAGAATGACCACCTCAGAATAATCACAAAAGTCTATTTGGTACAAATGAGCCTCTCATTAAAACCTGGCCACGCACTGCTAGTGGGCATAAAAATAGTATGCCCATTGCCTTCTCTGGAAAGCCATTTGACAGCATGCATTAGGAGTCTTAATAAGTTCGTAACTAGCCTTTAGCCCAGTCCGTAAATTTTTAGAGATCTAGTTTATGACAATAAGAAGAAAGAGATTATCTCAGTTACTATTATATAGCAAAGACGCTAAACACCACAATGCTGTACAAATAAGAAAATGGTTATGTAAATTATTGTATATCCGTGTGCCACATGCCTGGTTGTACCTGCTAAGGCCTAGCACAGTGCCTCACACATGCTAAGCTCTCAGTAAATATTTGATGAATTTATGACTGAATGAAATATAATGCAGTTATGAAAATGTTTTTGAAGAATATCTAATGGTATGAGGAAAACTCACACTCACAATACACTGTGAAGTGGAATAAAGAGGATATAACACATACACAGCATGATCCTATTCCTTAAAAAATAGTAAAAAAAAATTGAAATGAAATGCTAATGTTGGGGCACCTGGGTGGCTCAGCCATTAAGTGCCTTCGGCTCAGGTCGTGGTCCCAGGGTCCTGGGATCGAGCCCCACATCGGGCTCCCTGCTCAGCGGGAAGCCTGCTTCTCCCTCTCCCGCTCCCCCTGCTTGTGTTCCTTCTCTCGCTGTGCCTCTCTCTATCAAATAAATAAATAAAATCTTTAAAAAAAAAAAAAGAAATGCTAATATTAAGAGGTCAACTCTAGTTGATTTATGAGTAATTTTTCTTATTAACATTTTTCATATTTTCAAACAATTTTAAAACAGCAATCATACATTGCTATTATAGCTAGAAAAAAGAAACAAACTTTTAAGATTTTGTTTTTAAGTAATCTCTATACCCAATGCAGGGCTCAAACTTACAATGCCAAGATCAAGGGTCACATGTTCTACTGACATTCAGCGAGGTGCCCCACAAACATGTTTTTTTACTTTTTTTTTTTCATTTTTTTAAAGATTTTTAATTATTTGACAGAGAGAGAGAGAGCACAAGCAGGGGGAGTGGCAGAAGGAGAGGGAGAAGCAGGCTCCCCATTGAGCAGGGAGCCTGATGTGGGGCTTGATCCCAGGACCCTGGGATCATGACCTGAGCCAAAGGGAAATGCTTAACCGACTGAGCCACCCAGGCACACACAAACATGTTTTTTTAAAGGCCACTCTCAGAAACTGTATTCTGATTTCTTGAATGAATGAACAGTAATCTGTATTTCAAAGTCAGCTAAGCTGTGATTTGTTTAGAATCAGTTCAGTTGTATTTGCCCGTGTTATTCCATTCATACATAGTACCTTCAGGTAATGTCTACTATAGAAACTAATTCTCACAACATCTTTTACCACTCTAGACAACTGAGTTAATGAAAGATACCCATTAATCTCCAAAATGTCTTACATAATTAGGAAAATGAAAACATTTTTTGGTTCTCGACATTCATAAAATAGTCATTTACTTACTCATATTGGTCTAAGTTGTTTGATTTCTTTCCTGTTACATAATTACTTGGGATATAACCTTCACTCCTGGAAAGAAGGAAAATAGGTAAACAGAAATTATTTTACTGAGAGGTTATTAAAAGAAAAATTACTGCCTTTGTGGAAATACTAAGCACTATATTACCTAAAGCTTTAAGAAACTAGTCAACCTCCAATAATTCATTATATCTATAGCATTTGATGCTTTACAAACTACTTCCTCATTTGACCTTCTCTAAAACTCTGAGGTAGGCAGGCACAACTGTCCCCACTTCCTGGTGGGGAAACCAAGGCTTGGAAAGATTAAGGGACTTTCTCCAGGTCCCAAAGCTAGCCAGTAACAGGGCCAGAACTTAAAATCTGACCTTATGATAGGTTCAGAGCCCTTCCTAATATTCCACGATGCTTCTCTTGAATTCACAATTTCTTGGGATGTTTGAAAGAAATCACGATTTCAGAAAAGTTAAAGTGTCAGATAAAAATACCCATCTTGCCAATACTCCAACATCTGTGTAGAGTACTGTTTCACAGAAGGTAATCCCTGACCTCTACATCAGCATCAACTGGGACACTTGCTAAAAAGGTGAATTCTTGGATCATACCCCAAGAGAACTGAATGAGAAGGCCTATGTGAGGCCAAGGAAACTTCAGTTTTACCCCAGATGACTCTTACACACATTACCATTGAAGAAGCCCTCATACTTGAAGTTTGCTAGAGAAAATCTCAAATGCTCACAAACAAAAAGGAAACTATGTCAAATGAGGGCTCTTTTCATTTGATTTGGAAATCATTTCAAAATGCATACATACATCAAAACATCATGGTATACACCTTAAATATACGTAATTTTTTATTTGTCAATTGTACTTCAGTGAAACTTAAAAATTTTTTAAATAAAAAAGGAAACAATCATAATAGGTAGAATCTTGGTAGGAGTCAAGATTTTAGTGTAAAATAAAAGACATATGTGTATAAAATTTTAAAAATTGAGTAAAATCCTTGTAATCTTAAATTTGAATTTGAACTATTAGTAGGAACTCATAATACACACACACACACACACACACAAAGTACATATATGTAGCTCTGCTGCACTGAGAAAGGCCCAGAAACAAAGACACTCTAGGAGTAATTAGAATCCTAGCACCCCAATTGTTGTCCAAACACTATCTCACTAAAAAGAGCCAGCATTCCTTGGAAAAATGGCACATTGAAGGTGTGGCCAGGAAAAAATACCAGATGAACTTGAGCTGTCTTATTTTACCCAGAAAGCAAGGAAACTAAGAAAGATTAAAGAGGTCCCAAACCAGCTACCACTGACCTAAGATGGGTCAATTCAATCAAAAAGAATAATGACTGCAATGGTTGCAATATGCATCCATAATAACCCTTAAAATAATTATTGGTTACCATTGTTATCACTGATAAGGTGAGGAGGCTCAGTCATCAACCCATCATTCTGGAAAATTGGTAAAAGGAAAAAATCAAACATTTCTCTTGCCTTTGCTGTACAAACCAAATGAACTGACTGATGAGATAGTTCTTCTCTAGAGAATTAATAAATACAGACAGAATGCAGAGTTAGAAAAATCACCATTTTACAATCCCTAATGAAATAATGGATCCAAGCAGTAATCACTAATGAATGCCAAAATCATTAGGTGAAACCCTGATGAAGAACTTTATCATCACCTGGACCATCAATTTCTAATGTGATCAAGACCCTAGACTACAATTTACAGGAAATATAGGACACGGAGACCTATTAAATGATACCATGTGAAAGCAATTAGCTTAATCTAGATTATGGATCATTTCGTAGGGTAAATGATCTGGTTTCATCAATAAATCAAACTTGGAAAAAAAAAAAGAAGGATGGGGACTGTTGTAGAATAAGAGACATATCAGCCAAGTCAAAATACAATATCTGGACCTTATTTTAATCTTAATTAAATTGCATAAATACATCTTAGAGCTAATCAGGGGAAAATGGAATTATGTAATTGGTACCATCCTTAGACCAGAGGAGCCCCTACCATGACCTCACACTTTCAAGGGCATGCTAAAGTCCGTGTTCCCTCAGCCCTCTTCTAGACCATCACCTGGATAACTAGGACCCCAAAATTCTCTGTCCATTGCTAAGGCCAACACAGACCTTTCCACCTTATACTCTGAAAAGCAAATTATGCTGGTTACGTACAACTCCTTCTAGCCCAAGTCCAAGGGGTGGCCAAGTTGGGGAGTGGCTTCTGCAAGCGATGTGGACAGAGCTTGTCCGTATGGCTGGGAAATCCACATGGGGCATGTGGGCTGGAGCTAGGGTGGAAGGGAATGAGAGGACCCCAGAGGGCCAGCCCTCCATGCATTGTCACATTCTGGCATGGGACTTCATTCAAACCTCGCTTCCTTGTCATTTTGAAGGTACGTTTGTTAAGTTAGAGGATAAATGTTATTTTATTTACCAGTTTGTCAGCTTGACTTAGGGCTTCAAAATATTTAGATAAATGATATGTGGGCTTTCATTTATACTCTTCCTCCAGTCCTGAAAATGTTAGGGTAAAGTCTACAGGTCGTATTTTTTTAATTATTATTAAGTATGATAATGACATAGCAGTTGTTTAAACACCTTTAGTAGTTAGATTCAGGGGTAAAATGACAGAATGATTTGAATTTACTTTTAAATACTCTAAAAAAACAAACAAACAAACAAACAATTGGGAGGATTGGTAAATCAGTCCAGAAGTGAATTGAGGAATAGAGAATTGGAATTGGGAGATGGGGCAAGGAGGTGAGAAAGCAGATTTGGAGGGAAGGTATGCTGTGGCCAGGACAAAAAGTCCTCTTCTTTTTATCCACAGGAACTCAGAATATAAACAGGATTATATTTCAGAGGTAAACACAGTATATAGTTTCTTTAATGAAGCCTAAAAGACACTCATCCCCTACGTTTATCCATATTTACTAATCACTTACCAAATAATAAAGTTGGAAGGACTGTTCCTTTAAATCCAAAATTATCTTGTCTAAATAATGCTTGTTTTTAAATTTCTTTCTTTTTTTTTAGATTTTATTTATTTATTTGAGAGAGAGAAAGAGCATTCGCACGCTAGCGGGGGGTGGGAGGGAGGGCAGAGGTGGAGAAAGGGGAAAGAATCTCAGACTCCACACTGAGTGCAGATCCCAACACAGGGCTTGATCCCACAACCCTGAGATCATGATTTGAGCCAAAACCGGGAGTCAGATGCTTAATAAACTGAGCCACCCAGGCACCCCATTTTAAAAATTCTTGCATTTATGTGTATATATGTATTTTATACATGTATTTTATATATATACACACACATGCACATATGTGTGCACACGCGTGCACACACACACACACACATTCTCTCTCTCTCTTAGAAAAATGTAAGATCACTTACCTCGGGGATAAAAACCTAAAATGTCATTCTCCCAAGATCAAAATAATCTAATTAAACATACAATGAATGAGAAAGAGACCAATGTAATGCATTCTAATTTCTGGAAAGAAGTGGTTGATCCATTTGCATTTATTGAGTCATTACTAAGAATACATTGTGTTACTGCAAAGTAATAATGTGTACTTTCATTTACTGTTGACTGAACTAGTCTCATTACATAATAGTTAGACTCAGCACTCAGCCCATAACTCCCACCCACCCGCTGTGTGTCATACACAGAGGGAATACTTACCCGTATTTATCTCTTGCTCTCCACCAATGAACATCATTCTTTTCTAATATAATATACTCTTGGCCTCTCTCTAATCTGAGATCATGCGGCTCTGTTGCTTGGAAATCATACATGGCTACAACGATTTCTTCACTATTGTCTTCTTCTTCAGGTGGAATTGGTGGGGGAGGCCTTCGCTAAGAAAAGGAGACAACATATGAAAATGTAGTCATTCTGTTTGAAACTGGATGTGAAGTAAAACACTAAATGACTCACACAGCACCAGAGAATAAAGCAGAAACCTCAAGTCTACCTAATACAATCTGAGGAACCCTCCCATGACTTTGATGATATTGGTGCTACTGGACTTATGGGTTTCAGAATATAGGGCATGAGCAAAAACCCTCTTTAAACATCAAAGAGCCTCTGCTCGATGTCAGGGCTAGCCTTCCAGGGTTATGTGAGTAGAAACCAAAGGACTAAAGGTGGACCCACCATTCCAGTGGTCTGCAAAGGGGAAAAGACACATTAGAGAGTGAGTCTTTTATCAGGTCTCCTCTCAATCAGAGCATTTTGCACTTCTTTGTGCCTACTATGTGCAAGGCATGCACCTAGTACCTAACACACTTTTTTTTCGTTTATTCTTAATACTGATTCTATGAAATAGAGTATATAATTCCCATTTTACAACTGAGGAAACAATAGTTTAAGTAATCCACCCAAAGTCACTTGTACCAGATTCACATTGCATGGGGTACTATCTGAGTCCCAAGTACATGTGTTTCCAACCATACCCCACTCTTCAAAGGCATATCATTAAATCACTGAATTCACTTTTTTGACATAATACTGTGGTCGTAAGACTGAAATATTCCTTCAAAGTCCCATACCTTTTCTACAATTCTTGAAGCCAAAATATAAGCAAAATGCCAGATGGAAGAGAGGACCCCAGTGATAATCTGATATAATCAAATTAAGATTATTTGATACAAAAAAAGAAAATCAAAAAATCCTTAGCATATTGGTTTCTGACATGATATGGTGGGGAAGGGGGACAGAATCATGTGAATGAATATAAACTTACTTATTAAAACTGTAAATGTTTCTAAAAGGTAAAGACCACCTACCTTCTTTGTTTCTGGTGCTGGAGGTAATGCTTTTTTTATACCTGAAAACGACAACAAAAATAGGTCAAAATGCCATCTTCCAATGATTGAGAGTTTTAACAAAAAGTGAAAATGCATAGATGAGAAATCCACTCGGACTCTCTCATTCTGGTGCATGTTGCTTATATCAGTATTTCAGAGAAGAATTTAAAATGCTATCGAAGCTGGTTTGTTGTCTGCCTTCCTGAGCAGACTAAAAATGCCGGAGGGATTGGGGCCATGTCTTATTCTTGGTAAACAAGTGAGACTACGACTAACTAAAAAGCTTACACTCGGCGAAGGAAACCATCAACAAAATGGAAAGGCAGCCCACAGAAGAGGAGAAAACACTCGCAAATCACATATCTGATAAGGGGTTAATATCCAAAATATACAAGGAACTCCTATAACTCAAAAGCCAAAAAACTCAAATAACTCAATTAAAAATGTTGCAAAGGACCTGAACAGACATTTTTCCAAAGAAGACAGTCAGATGGCCAACAGGTACATTAAGAAGTGCTCAACATCACTCATCATCAGGGAAATGCAAATCAAAACCACAATGAGATATCACTTCATAATTGTCAAAATGACTATGATCAAAAACACAAGAGGTAACAAATCCTTGGGAGGGTGTGGAGAAAAGCCTCGTGCACTGTTGCTAGAACACAATATGGAGGTTCCTCAGGAAATTAAAACTAGAACTACCATATGACTCAGCAATCCCACTTCTGGGTATATACGCAAAGGGAAGGAAAGCAGTACCTTGAAGAGACATCTGCACTTCCATATTCATAGCAGCATTATTCACAATAGCCAAGGTATGAAAACAACCTAAATGTCCATCAACAGATGAACTGATAAAAAAATGTACTGTGTGAGATATGTATATATAATGGAATGTTATCCCACCTTTAAAAAGAAGGAAATCCTGCCATGTGCAACAATATGGATGAACCTGAAGGGTATTATACTAAGTGAAATAAGCCAGACAGAAAAAGGACAAATACCACATGGTATCACTTATATGTGGAATTCAAAATTAAAAGAAAAGTCAAACTCATAGTAACAGAGAGTAGAAAAAGTAGTTGCCAGGAGATGGGCGTTGGGGAGAGGGAGACAGAGATGTTGGTGTAGAGGGCACAGATGTTCACTTTTAAGATGAATCAAGGCCTGAGAGTCTAATGTATAACGCGTTACCTCTAGTTGATAACACTGTAATGTATAACAGAAATGTCCTGAGAGTAGAACTTAAATATTCTCACACATACACACCAAAAGGTATACATGTGAGGTGATAGATGTCTTAACTAACTTCATGGGAAGAATCCTTTCCCATCAGGATGCCAAATCATCACACTGTACACTTTAAATACCTTACAATTTTATTTGCTAATTATATCTCAATAAAGCTGAAAAGAAAAAAACTGCTGATGGTGCCACATTAAGCTCATGCTTTTAACAGAGTCATTTTGATCAGGCTTCCATATTGTGATTAAAGCTCTTGAAAACAGACCTTTTGATTCCATGAGATGGCCCCACTGCTAAATAAACATAATTATTCATACAAAATACACCCACCCTACAGTTACACGGTGCTAGAAGGTGTAAAGGTTATAGTTAACCAACACCAGAATCAAAACCAAGTCACTTTCACACTATACCAATAGTTTGTATATCCTGCACATAATATAATTATAAAATAAAATAAATACTTACTACTCTCAAAAAGGTTATATTTTTCACATCCAGGTGCTAATTTTTCAGTTTGTCTGCAGCACTGATAACTTCCGTCTGCCCAAAATTTAGGATGATATTTAATCATAATATTATTGTTGTTCTTTATTTCTGTAATTCATAGACACATTAAATGATTGGTGAGATAAAACAGATGACAGAACGTTTTGTAGGTAACACTGTCAATCATTCTCTATTTCTCAGATATTACGTTTATTATGAAAACACCTTCATAACATCATACAACCCAGTGTTCAGAAAATCCATATGGTTCTCTTCCACCTTCTTATTTTGATGAAGCATCCTTGTTAGCAGAAGTGACCGCTGCTGCACCATGATGGATAAACACACAAGTCAGCCCACACCATTCTGTTCTGCAGAAGAAGGGGTGAGGACTGCACCGAACAAATCACCCATTGAGACACTCTACGCACAAGTCATCATCCACACCAAATGTTGACTCCATAGGCCATTTCTTAGAAAATAAAATCCTATTATCATAAAAGTCCAGTGCTTTCTCATCTTTAAATGTTTTAGGCATTAAATGGAAGCTACGTGCATACCACTAGAAGGAATCAGATTACAAAAAAGGAAGTTGTCTTCATCATGTATCACGATAGCAGAGGGTCCTCAGAGAAACACTTATTGTAGATTAAAAGATTAAAAATACAAGATACATTAGCCATATTTCTCTTCGAGTGATAACAATGTTATATCCTAAAGTTATGTACAGTTAATATTTCATTATGAGTTTTACCTTCTTTTAACTTCTTCACCCACCGGTCCCTGCTTTGTGCACTAGGTGCAAAAATGTAAAGTGTGTTAGCATCATGAACAACCTAAAATAAAACAAAAGATGGAAGAGGTGAGAAATACTTAGACACAGCACTTCTGTCTAGCACAGAGCCCTTGGTACCAGAGGCATCAATAAATGATTCTGAAATGATCAAATAAAAGTCAATTACTTTGGATCCTTTCTTACAACAGCATATCTATTTCTTCATGTCTACATCAAGTGGGATACACATTTTGCAAAGGACTGTGTTTTTATAGAGGAAAAAATATAGAGAGAGGCCAAGATGCTTCACTAATCTTATTTCTTGCAATCTAATTAACTGAAGATCCTTAAGCAAATTTGGTGTAGCAGGGATTACTCTAATCTAGCATTTTTCTGAATATTTTACATGAATGGACTACTCTGTCAATGTCATTGCTATACCTTCCTTTTGCCACTATAAATAATGGCAGTGGCTAACTTTATTAAACACTATCCCCACTCTATACTATGTGCTTTACAGACATTAACTCAGTTAATCCTACCATTAAGGTATCAGTATTTACATTTTATGGAGGAGGACACTAAGGCTGATCCCCAGACCTTCCACTCCTGTGTAACTCCAGAAGGCACCATTCATACAGAACACACTGCATATGGTGCCCCCTAATGTTGTGCTATGTAACCTGCCCATCTCATCTGGCTGGTAATCCAGAAAACCAGGATCCTGACTTCAGAGCCCAAACTGTGAACCACAGTGCCTCTTTTAGAGGTAACTCGTGGTGAGCAATTAAAGTCTTATTCTTAGTATTTTTAATATTAGTAATAAAATTCAGCCTGAGAAACTAACCCAAGAATTTTGTCTTTGGTCTGTCACTTTACCTTTGGTCACAATCACAAAGCAGAAACACCTTGACTGGCTAAAAAGAAATATAAGGCTAGAAACTTCCCTTCCGACACCGAAAGACAAATACTGCATGATCTCACTCTATGTGGAATCTAAAATAGTCAAATTCATAGCAGTAGAGAGAGTGGTGGTTGCCAGGGACAGGGAGGAGGGGTAAATGGGGAGATGTTGGTCAGAGGGTACAAAGTTTCAGTTAAGCAACATGAATGAGTTCTGGAAATCTAATGTACAGCACGGTGACTACCGTTGACAGTACTGAACCGTATACTTGAAATTTGCTATGGGGGTAGGTCTTAAGTGCTCACACACAGGAAGGAAGGAAGGAAGGAAGGAGGGAGGGAGGGAGGGAGGGAAGGGGGAAGGAGGGAAGGGGGAAGGAAAGGAAAGGAAAAAGAAAGAAAATGATAATTATGTGAAGTCATGGATACACTAATCAGCTCGACTGAGATCATCTCATAAGGTACACATATATCAAAACATCAAGTTGTACATCTTAAATATACACAATTCCTATGTGCCAACTGCACCTCACTAAAGCTGAAAAAAACTTTCATTTTTTACCAACCACCAAAGCAATGGCAGGAAACTGTAATGTTGAATAGTAAGCATGACTAAAAGCCCAGAATTATACTGTGGCAAAAAACACGCCAGCTTACCTGAAATGGATATTTATTTTGGCAGGGAACAACACCCTCATCATTCTTCACTATTTCCACACACTTGATTTTTGAAACATCAATAAATCCCTTTCTGTATTTTTTCTGTTAAAAGAAAAACAAAGGGAGAACCACTGCAATCATAACCAGAAAAAATGTTATTAAGAGAAAAATTTGTTAACGAAATCACCGATTCAAAATACTATAATTTTCTTAATAATTACCTAAATCATGTCTCCATTTATTGTCAAAACTGTTCAAAATACTAACATTGTGAGAACTGTAATAAAATAATATTATTATATAAAAAGTAATTATTTCTGTTTATTTCTAAAGATGAAATTTTCTTATCCTTGCCCCCAAAACACTTTTTTGCCCCCAAAACTCCCTTTTATTGTCACCTTCCCCTTTCAGACATATATCTTTTCAATTTCTTCAACATCTTGTTGATAGCACTCCATCCCCACTCCCTCACCCCACCAAAAGAGCATCAAAGACCAAACCAAGCAAAACTCCAGGTACTTGACGGGGCACTCAGTCAGCTACACCTCCGACTCTCAGTTTCAGCTCAGGTCATGATCTCAGGATTGTGAGATCAAGCCCCACATAGGGCTCCATGCTCAGCATGGAGTCTGCTTGAGATTCTTTCCCTCTCCTTCTGCCCCTCCCCCCTGCGTATGCGCTCTCTCTCTCTCTCCCTCCCTCTCTCTAAAATAAGTAAATAAAAAATAATAATCACCTTTAAAAAAAAAAAAGAACTCCAGGTACTTGAACACAGATGCAAACTCTAGCCAGTTACTTTTTTCTCCTGCAACACAGATAACTCAGGAGGATTTGAGGTGGACTTAAGGTATTCACATAAAACTCCCATTCGGATTCTATTGTTGGATATTTTCCTTTACTTCTCTATTCCCCTCTCTCTCTCTGCTCACTGAACTTCTGCCTGCAGCAATTAACTAAGGACACATCAGGACCTCCCTCCACCCTGAAGCATAGTAATCTCATACCCGAAAATTCATCAAAGGGAAAAATCCAAAGAAAACAAAGTAGCATGTGCCCACATAAGTTGATAAAATACACCCATTAAAAATGATTACAAACACAACATAGAAATAAAAAAGGTTCACTGAATAATACTAACTGATATATTCCACACAAAAAGCTGTATAAAGACTTAAGTTATCTTTGGAAAGAGGATGGTAGATATTCGTATGATAAAGAATAGAAGGAAAAGCAGAGAAATGAAGGACACTGTAATATTTGGGGTGACCCCGCTACCTCCTGGCTCTTGTCATTCAAAATTGCTTCACTGCATATTCTAAAATTGTCCTCTGGTCACAACCTTTGAGCCCCCTGTCCTGCTCTCAGGAACCTGCGCTGCATTTTTACTGTCACCTTAAGACTTTCAGCCCTGCCCACTTTCCCAGGCCACCAGCTCCCATCTGACAGCTGACTGGACTCTTCTGGAGGTCATTTCACCATAGCACCCTCTTTCTCTCTCTTCCGATTCTCCCCCCACCTCTCCACGAGTCCCACATGTCTCTTGACAATTGTGTCAGCGACCAGTTCTATCTACACCCTCCCTACTCCTTCACACCCGGTTGCAGAAAGTCAACGATAATCCTAATTTTCTTCTCTATGCTTCCCCGGGCCTTGACTGCGGCTCCTCATCTCCTTTGTATCTCTCAAAGAGGAACCTGGTGGCCTCCGTGGAGAACACCAGTCGCATCAGAACTACAAACCCTTCCCATTCCCTTCAGCCCGGGAGACGCACTCCCTCACTGCTTTATGAAGAGAACAGCCTTCCCACGAGCACACCCTCCAACTTCCCTCTAGAGATCAAAAGCACTCTAAAATTTATCTTTTTTCTTCTCTTTCATCCCGTCTCTTGGAGAAGTTAAGGCTACTGCAGCTCAGACAGGTTAAATATATTCATCAAGGACCCCAACTGACCCCAAAGCCCAGTGGACCCTGGGATAACCCAGCTGCAAACAAGCAACAGCATTAATGGAGCTAAGTCCCCAAGGGGGGCAACAAAGATTCTGAGCATGGACTAATCTTCAGCCAGGGTAGAGAGAAGAACATTCTCCCCAGCCATGCTTCTTGGAGGAACTTCCTTCTACCTATAGACACATTCGGGCCTCTCCCGTCCATACCAAGAACCCTTCTTTGGCCCTGCTATTGCCCTCGCTTTCCTCTTCCCTTCCTGAAAGAGAAGATGCTTACATCCTCAGCCTTCACTTCCTTCCCGCCCATTCCTCCTCCTCAGCCACCTGCCATCTACATCCACCTCACCACAGCCTGCTGAGCCGCTATCAAAAACGTCACCAGGGACCAAACCCAACAGTCTTTCCTCAACTGTCATCCACTCACACCTTTATGAGGCATCTGAAGGTGCCACCACTCTCTTCTCCCTGAGTGGTCCTGACTTTGGGTCGTCCTGGTTTTTCCTACTCTCCCTTCCCTTCAGGGTTCCACAGACAACCCTGTCCTGTGTCAGCAACTGTGTCAAGGAGCACAAGGTCAAGATCAGGGAAGCTCACTTCCTGAGCAGACAGCTCAACTATTGTGCCATTCAATCCTCACAAACTCTGTGAGGTAAACATGACCAGACACATTGTACAGAGGGAAGAAACGAAAATTACTTGCCCAAGACAGACAGGAGTTATGATACTGTATATTAAAAAGATGCTCATGGACACAGAGGAGTTGAAGCTTCAATGCCAATTCTGGAAGAGAAATTCTGGTATGTGAAAGGGAGAGAACTGAACGGCACACGACAGGGAAGGAGTAAACAGCACATACGAAGAAAAACATAATCCAGAATGACCTCAGTTGCCTCATAAGTAAAATGGGAATAATAACAGCTATGAGAATTAAATGAGTCGGTATTTGCCAAGTGCTTAGAATAGTGTCTGGCCTAGAATCTGATATCAGTAAGTGTTGGCTACATAAAATAAATAAGTAGCAAAAAAAAAGACCAGTGTGGCTGAAGCACAGGGTGCATGAGGCAGGATGGAAAGATGAGCAGGGCCAGCCTGTAAAGAACCTGCTGCACAGTATTAAGAGGTCTGGTCAGACAGGGCCATCCGCCCTGCTCTTGAGGCCTGTGACAGTTAATGGGTGGAAGAAATTGCCAGAGCACCATCCTACTATTAACTAGTCACACATGTTCATTGTAGAAACCTTAGTAAATACTAACAGCACAAAGAGAATCAAATGACTCTTAATCTCCCAACCCTGGAGAAAACCACTGTTGACATCATGGCATTTTCCTGACATTGGTCTCAGGGATCATTTATCACCTGCCAGCTCTCTTAGCCCTTGAGCAGTAGGCTATATATGGTCTGTTTCCAAGATACCCATCTCCACCCACCACCTGCCCCTGTTATTAAATGCAGCTGTTAAATGCAGGTCAATCTATACCGGAAAATTTAGGATGGCCTGTATACTGGGTTGACTTATGCCCCCTAAATTCATGTTCTGGGACATACAATCTATTCTTGTACTGTACTAATATTGGGGTTTGCAGATAAAGGTTCAAATATAAGCTGCTCATGCATGTTTTTATCTAGCCCACCAGCAAACACTGATCAGACACCAAGCACAGCGTTGTGTGCTGTAGCTGCAAAATTACACAAGGGGGTTGAGGGTCTCCCTAAGAGGAGTTCACAATAATATACTGGGTGGAAGGAGAAGAGGGTAATGATTCAGAATCAGGTAATGATGAACCCATGTGAACTCATGGTGTTTATGGAGTGGGGCAATGACTGGACCAGGAGAAGCTGAGGAAGTTTCAGGGAGGAAGTACCATTTTGATTTGGTTTCTAAAGGGTAAGCGGGAGTTTTCCTGTAGAGAAAGTAGAGAAAAATATTCCAGGCAGCAGAGACAACAAAGCGCTCATTTAAGCAACAGAAAAAAATTCATGTGGCTCAGAGTGGTTCAGGGGAAGTGTAGGAAATGACACCAAAAAGGTTATTTGGGACCAAATTAGGAAGATGCCTATACGCCAGACTTAGGAGTTTGGAAGGAAGAGTGCTGTACTGGGGTTTGCTTTTGAAATCGTTAATTATTAATGGCAGGGGGACGAATGGATAGGCAGGGAGGCTATCCAGGAGCCTGCTGCAGTCGTTCAGGTGAGGGATGACAAGGTCATGAACCCAGTCAATGGCAGTAAATCAGGTGAGGAAAGCAGGGATGCCAGAACATTAAAAGAGAGAGTCCACATAACTCTGGCATCAATTAGATGCGGGGATTAACAGAGAGGAAGGAGTTAGGAAACCTCAGGGATTTTGAGTCTGAGTGACCCGTAGACACCAACACCATGAATCACCATAGGGAACACAGAAGAATCAGGTTTGAGATAATGTTGGGAAATGTTTTTTGAGTTGATTATTGGACAACCCACTGGAAATGTTTGAAGGGAATTGACAATATGAGGCTCGTACTCAGCAATGCTTATCACTTTCTTTATAGTAAAGAGAATTCTGCTTTTCTCAACACATATGTTGTGTATATATAGTAGAATCTTATTCTAACCACATCTCAGGGAACCCTAGGAGATTAGGCAAGGTCAAGGAAGAGACTTGCCATAGGGAACCCTAAGAGTTACTGCAAGAGCCATGTGCCTGCCCCCTTAACACCTGGTCTTTGCACTCTGGTGAATCAGAGTTAACACTGAGAAGGGACATAGAACATATAGTTTTTTCTCCATTGAGATTATTTATCATTTCTTCAATAGGAAAATTACTTCATGATAACCAAAGTATGCTATACATTATTGTTACTATTGTGGCCCAAGGAGAAATATCCAAGGTCATTACATGTTTCATGTGAAGTTTCCCTTTTATTTCTACAGCCTTCACCCTGCCCACCAAACTGAAAATCACAATTAAACCAAGATGTCACCTTACTCATGTTTGCATCATCCAAGCTGAAAAATCTACCTGGCACTTAGCAGATGTTCATTAAACAGTGTGCTGAGCCAGTCTGCAAAGAAGTATGTATGACGCTCTGTATGTGCGTGTGTGCGTGCGTGCGTGTGTGCGTGTGTGTGTGTGTGTATAACACAGGATATATATCTCTCCTTTCTTGCATAGCCTCT